ACTTGTTTTTTATAGAATATATCTTCAATAAAAAATTGTTTATAAAAAAATGTCTTAAAACAATGTCCTAGTACATTTGTTTAAATAGTTTTCCAGTTAAAATATCCTGAATAATGTATCTTGTCTTACTGCAGCACCAACAGATTTAATTTGTTTTAAATATAAAGTAAAAAATGTTTTTATTTTATTAAGCCCCAAACCACCAAATTGTTTGAGTTTCTTTTTGGAAAAGCAACAACACAGAAAAGCATCAAAAGGGACATTGGTTCTCCAGAGAACATTACAGTTTTCACTTTGCAAACAAAACTACTCAACATTAAAAATCACAAATTTGAGCTCATTATAAAACACTAACAAAATGAAACCTACTGCTGAAGACCTGGAGATGCTTCCTCTCAGTCATAGACAAATGCAGCTGCCACCAAGCAGTTTTAAAACTTGATCTGGATCAAAGCGTCCTTGTCAAACTCTAAAACTCCACTTTCCCCTCCATAGTTTCCACTCCCATGGAAAAGGCTGATACAACATTATTTTTTTAATTCATTTTTTTAGAAGGCTTCAGAAACTCTGTCAGGTGTTCGAACACCACTGACATAGAAAAGAATAAATATTATGCCACGGTGATTGCACAAGCATTGCATTTTAGAATGGTTCTACTCTCATTAATTAAAAGGCAAAGCCTGAACTCAGTTAACGATTCTCTGGAGTGCTGTCTATTAATACCGGTGTTTTCTTAATGCAACATCTTGCCATTTTGGCAGTAATTGTAAATTTGCGTCCAGGCAGCTGTGTCCTTTAGTGTGGAGAACATGCATCACTTCCCCTGCTACTCTATGACTAGCTATAATTCTGTTGTAATGAACGGATATCTAACAGACATAAAGACGTTAGCCATTGAGGGATTTATTTTTGGATAATACTCTTTCGTACGACGTCTCAACAACTGCAACAAATAGTTGCTGTATAGGTCTTCTGATGGATCTACTGTTGTCTGACGGTTATGTTCGCTATTCTATACGACTGGCAGCTAATTCTGTAAATACTGGCTTCATGAAAGCTCGTCAAGGATCGTCAGTAAAATGAGCCATTTTAGAACGTGATCTTTAAACAAAGTACAGTTTGACGTTCTAATTAAGTTTTCATCCTTTGACAATTTATTGACCATTTAGGACAATCCTGGCTCCAAATGGTGCAACACAAATGCAAACTTATCAAGATAATAGTCATTATCATTACTCAGCTTTCTGGACTCTTCCACCCAGTCATTTTGTACGTCTCATCTGTACTGTAAAGCGTGCGGTATATATATATATATGCACCACCGTGCAGGGGTCCTATACAGGAGATTCTTTGGAAGGCCGGGTCCCACTGGGCCACACTGAAACGTATTATAATAAACATGCCAAGCTCTGCTCTCGGCTCTCCTGCACCCAGCCAGAGACAACACGACTCCTCATCTTTGCTCCAACAATGGCATTAGACTGTCAAAGACACTTTCAAACTACCCTGATACACAGCCAACTGCTCCATTTAACAATAATTCAACCTCGGGCCAAGTGCACTAGAGCCAAACAGTCATCCTGAGCTGCCCTTGTTTTTCTACAAGTTTTTTTGGGGGTGGTTATGGTTGCTGTTTTGCTGATTTGGGCTGTGTTTGGATGCAGGTACTTCTTTAGGACATAATAGTGAGGTAAGACCTTTAACAGACAACAACTGAATTGATTTACATAAAAACATAAGAAATCAGCATCTGAGAAGGAGTGGCACATGCAAGGCCATGTTTCAGCATGAGCTGTTATGTGATGCCTCAGTCATTCAGGCATGTAGTAAAAGCATCATAAATGGTTAAGCCATCGAAATGACATCACCAGATCCTCTCTCCTAGAGTTCCATTAGATCGGTCAAAGGAAATCAGACCTGCGCTCCTTATACACTGCAATTAAAGGAGAACTCCGGCGCAAGAACTCCAATAGCCCCCTATTTTGAGCCTTGTTAGTGGTATAAACTAGCGATTTCTTTTTACTTATTATATGCCCCCATTACTAGCGTTATACGCTAAACAGTTTTTAGAGATAAAACTCTTTACATTCGATTATCATGCAAACAAATCTCAGAGAACGGTTGACTAGGTACCAATGTTTTATTAGACCAAAGGTTCATTTTGCGCCGGAGTTCTCCTTAAAGTATCGACTTCGAATGAGTACTTCCTGCTGTCGATCCTTTGTTTACAAGTATAGTCAAGTCATCTTTACCCATACATTAAACAATTCATTTTGTTTTTCAAAGCAGCTTCATAGTAATAAACAGGAAAATAATAGAATAATGCAAACTTCATCACATGAGACAAAACTACACTGAACAAAATTATAAACGCAACACCTTTGTTTTTGCCGCCATTTTTTATGAGCTGAACTCAAAGATCTAAGACTTTTTCTATGTACACAAAAGTCCTATTTCTCTCAAATATTGTTCACAAATCTGTCTAAATCTGTGTTAGTGAGCACTTCCCCTTTGCCGAGATAATCCATCCACCTCACAGGTGTGGCATATCAAGATGCTGATTAGACAGCATGATTATTGCACAGGTGTGCCTTAGGCTGGCCACAATAAAAGGCCACTCTAAAATGTGCAGTTTTACTGTATTGGGGGGTTCCGGGCGGGGTCTGAAAACCAGTCAGTATCTGGTGTGACCAGCATTTGCCTCACGCAGTGCAACACATCTCCTTCGTATAGAGTTGATCAGGTTGTTGATTGTGGCCTGTGGAATGTTGGTCCACTCCTCTTCAATGGCTGTGCGAAGTTGCTGGATATTGGCAGGAACTGGAACACGCTGTCGTATACGCCGATCCAGAGCATCCCAAACATGCTCAATGGGTGACATGTCCGGTGAGTATGGTGGCTATGCAAGAACTGGGATGTTTTCAGCTTCCAGGAATTGTGTACAGATCCTTGCAACATGGGGCCGTGCATTATCATGCTGCAACATGAGGTGATGGTCGTGGATGAATGGCACAACAATGGGCCTCAGGATCTTGTCACGGTATCTCTGTGCATTGAAAATGCCATCAATAAAATGCACCTGTGTTCGTTGTCCATAACATACGCCTGCCCATACCAAAACCCGACCGCCACCATGGGCCACTCGATTCACAACGTTGACATCAGCAAACCGCTCACCCACACAACGCCATACACGCTGTCTGCCATCTGCCCTGTACAGTGAAAACCGGTATTCATCCATGAAGAGAACACCTCTCCAAAGTGCCAGACGCCATCGAATGTAAGCATTTGCCCACTCAAGTCGGTGACGACGACGAACTGCAGTCAGGTTGAGACCCTGATGAGGACAACGAGCATGCAGATGAGCTTCCCTGAGACGTTTTCTGACAGTTTGTCAAGTCAAGTCACCTTTATTTATATAGCGCTTTTTACAATACAGATTGTATCAAAGCAGCTTCGCAGTGATTACATTAAAATAATACAACAAGTTTGTTTCTAGAAGAAAATTGCATCAACGTCCACCTTAAAGGAACACTTCACCCATTTCAACATTAATCTTTATTGAAAGTGGGTCATATATGTAGTCGAAATGTAAAAGAAATTTTGAATTGGGTGCCCTCTTGACCGAGAAAAGACAGAAAATAACTTTAGGGCGCATTTGTATGTAAGACAACAACTCCCACAATGCACCACATTGCACAGCTCCACAAGCGCAAGCCACTTCCACTAATCCAGAACAGCGCAAACATTAGATAAATCACTCTTCCGTCTACAAGGCTAACGTTAGCTGCCACCAGAGTTAGAAATTCATTTCACACAAAATTTCTAGTTAGTTGCTGTGGCGAGCAGGACGAGGGCGAGGGACGTGAGAGGACGGCGCGAGGCCGGTGGCGTGAGTAATAATGAACGACACCTGTGAGACGCACCGGTCTCTCTCGCATCTCTCACCGAGGAGCGGACGCATAAAACAAGGAGCGACGACAGGGCAGATCGAGAGAGGAACAGGCCTGATTTTATGTTGTGTTTTGTTTCTGTTGTGTGTGGCCAGCAGTGAGGGGCTGCTGGCTTATATTTTTGTTTTGTATTTGTTTATTTTACTATTCAAATGTTTAAATGTTCGCCGGTTCCCGCCTCATTCTTCCCACAACAACGAACCCCGTTACATTGGCAAACTCATTAGTTAATTACTCCTCGTTTATATTTCTTTATATGAGGGCTTGAGACGAAGAACCATATAAGTCCATATTTTCAAATTTTGAATAATGACATTTTTTTAATTTGGACTCTGAATATTATATATATATTTTTTTTTTTACTTGAAGATAGACAACAAAAGTTTCACAATTCTAATGAGATAAGATTTTTTAGTATCAATCTTAAAAATAAAAAGTTAGAGTAATTTACATTTCTGGAATGTGGAAGAACAGTATAAGTCCAGTTAATGTGGAATAACAGTATAAGTCCAATTCATCATATCACTTAAACCACTGGAGATTTGATTCCTTTATCTTAGTTTTAATACAGTAACAGAACCTTAAAGAAAATATTAAACATTTCTTTCTTTCAATTTCTTTTATTTTTTTACCAACATAAATCACAGAACAAAAACACAGACAATACAGTACGAACAATGAACAATACATAGGCCTACTTATAGTACAGAAAATAAACGTCATTACAAACAATAAACCGTACATACAATCAACAATACATACAAACAATAAACAACAGTAATAACTGTAAACAATACATATTTACAATACAGACATGTCATACATCATCATCATTCCTTGCTATGGTTCCATATGCTAGTTTACCATTTTATAATACATTTCATAAATCACCCCATTCATTCATTTACTAAATAAATAACTATATATTCCTATTATACAACATAATATAAGGCATACAAGATAAACTACAACTACTATTATGATTAATTTTACACAATATACACAATATACCCCACCTTACCCTGCACATGACCTACACATACCAGGCTACTCTTCGCATTCTAATGCCCCATAAAATGCTTGGGCCTCCGGTGGCATGTAGGCTAGCATTTTCATAAGATCCCGGTGCTTCTCCTTCTTGACGGGCAGAGGGTCCTCATAAGCACGAGCATACGTGGTGGAGAACAAGGGAGCTGGAGGTGGTTGATTCTTCCTCTGTTTGGTGATCAGCCAGGTCTTCCATCCCTCGTAGAGGCTGTGGCTCCCTTTTGTGTGGACACACCATGGATCAGCAGCTGAAATCATGATTCAACAAGAAATTCAATAAAGATTCTTCTTTCACGCACATATCCCCAACACTGTTAATCTCAGAAGACCTACTCTTTTTTTTTTTACCTGTCACTTTCAACCACATCATGGATGTGATTAGCAAGCCAGGTGGACGCTTTAATGTTGCATCAGGGAGCTGCCTGAAGTCCGGACATTTCATCTCAATGACTTTGAATGGATGCTGCTGCCTGGCTCCACGGATCATCTCGGCGACATCGCTGGGGGTGTGGAGTGTGGACACCTTACGCCTCTTGTCCAGCGTGGCAAAGGAACGGTCACAGGGAAGGAAGGAGTGACCAGACACCATGAACTTCTGCTCTATCTGACTGAAGTACCTTCTAGATACGAGCAGGGCCATGAGGTTTAGGACTCGCCAGTTGTTGTTCTGCCCACAGCATCGGTCACTATAGATGACGAGCTTCCGTTCCTTTGGCTGGACTAGGGGAGCAAAAGATGTTTCTGCCCACTTCAAAAGACAGCTTGCCACCTCGATGGAACCTCTGTGAGCGATGCCCTCATGCCAGAGGCACATTGTAGGAGGATCGTCAGTGCCCATCTCCTGGATACAGAGGTTGTAGTTGGCCAGCTGCCGTTGATAGTACACGTTGGAGTGTGTCAGGTTTGGCGTGAACACTACCCCCTGCATGTCGATACAAATGACATGGCAGTCATCATTGGCTTTGGCTCACTCTATGTCAGCCTGCAACTGGGTGTACGCTTTTTCAGCTTTCCGGTGGTGAAGCTCACTCTCGGCTGCGATCTTCAACCTTTCTCCTTCTGTTGTAGCAGCTGTTAATTTTAAAAACAGGGTGTCACATTTCGCACAAGTGTCACTTCTTGGCTGCCCAAAACTGAGGTTCTGCTGCTTGAAGATATCCCTATAGAGCCAGAACTTTGCAGTGGATGTTGGATTGTGTTCCTTGTACAGGCGGAACATGCGGAGCAGGTTTAAATCAGGGCTCAGGTACTCCCTCTCCACATCTCCCTTCATCCGTGAGTAGTGGTTCGGTTGGCGTGGGAAGCTCAAGATATGCTCTCTTATCCCCTCTCTCACTGCAGGATGAATGCTATGAGGCCTAAAAAATAAACACCACAACTCATGAACAAGGGAAATATAATAAACTATGCTGGTCTGTTTTGCACAATTGCATTGTTTCTGTGACCATAAATGTATAATTATAAACATTCCTCTAAACTATAGGATTTTGTTTTTCACATACAGTCATTAAAGGGATACTTCAAGATTTAGCATTAAGCTTTGTATCATTAGAAAACCGAATTCTTTTTAGTATTTTCGAATTACCATGCTTTTCTCCCTCATATCCCCCTGAGATGAGAGATTTATGTATTTTTTGTCTGGAAAAAATCCTCCGATGACGCAAAAATTGTCATTGTTTACATGCACATCTTTTGTTTCAATCTAACTGAATTTATTCCGATTTGTAAATCTGAATGTAGTGTTTACATGGATGCTAAACATGTGATTGATTGATGTGTGCATTTTAGCATTGCAATCTGGGAGTTGTCTTTCATCCCCATAAATCAAAAATACATTTTCTGGCTTTTAGAAGGCTCCATTCAAAAATAATTTCACATTTCTACTACATAAATGACCCATTTTAAATACACATTAATCTTTCCAGAGCTGAAGTATCTCTTTAAGATCCACATGTTGTAATGATACAAAGAATAATCATACATTACATTTGCATTGCACTTTATCTCTAATATCGATTTCAAAGTGCAAAAATATGTTTCCTGACTGGGCAACAACAGTGAGCTGAATCCTAACCATTACGGTATGTGCACACTGGCGTTATAGGGTGGCAAGGCACCCAACGCTCTATAATGCCAGCGTCCAGTGCACCATTAGACCAGGGAATGTTGTAGGTGTGACAATGGTGCAGCTTTAAAAACTAACAGGACGAGAGCATGAGGTCCTTCAAGATTTGTTTTTTTTTTTACTTACCTGTTCTTATGTTTTCCTCTGAAGTCCTCTAATGGAGACCTGACTTTAGCTACCTGCTCTGTTCCCTCAGACTGACTGCCTAACTTTTCTTGAATAACCTTTTCAAAGATAAGTAACTTTAAATAAATATGTTATGGACAATGTATCTAATTAAAATCATGCATGTAATAAAAAGTTAACAAACGGAAAAGGCTAGGCTATATAAAACTTGCCTGTAGGCGACTGTTGGTCAGTTGAAAGACTGACATAAATGTGAGTTTACAAACAGCAAGTCTTTGGCCTCCTTGTTGCACATGGTACTTGAAGGTGTACTTCCTCTTAGTAATCTCAGTGTCGGGCCCACGTGGTCGTCTGCGACTCACCTTGTGCTAGAAGTAAAAAGACATGAAGTAAAAAGACATTTACCATAGCGTAGCAGGCTAGCCGTATTGTAGAGCTGTCAGGTTAAGGTCATTAAGTACGTAAGTAGGCTTTGGTTAGGAGAATGAATAAGCATTTTAGGGCACCAAAGCGCTGTGGTCTGACTGTAATGCACTTGGTGGCCTACTTGATGCTGATCATCCTTCATCCATCCTCACAAAATTTAACATTTACAGTGATCAGGCACATGTGCAGTCTTAGTGAATTGAAGGCATACAGTAGTATTCAATTCACTGGTTGTTTCATGGGCCTACATTGTGATGCATTGCATACTGTTGACATGATATGGTCATGAATTGCTTAAGTTAGCCTACCTGCTCCAAACCAGAGAGAATGATAGCCTGCTGCCTCTCATAAGAGACAGCATAAAACTCTGTGAAGAGCTGGAGTTTTCTTTGTTCTGTTAGGCTTGAACACTGCCTGGGACACGTCTCCTTGCACACCTTGCCCTTAACAAAAACAAAGTCACATTAGAGTTTATTTTGTTATATATAGCTATAGAACACTAGAGCTATTAGCAGCTATTAAGGTTACTACCTATAATATATAACGTAACAGCTTACACAATCAATGCATTTTTTTATTATTACCTTTTATTTATTAAAAAATTAGTAACAAACAAATATAGCATACAATATTACAAAACAAAGTGTTGCATAAATGGTAACATGGGATCCAAAAAGTATATCAAAATATTTTAAACACGTCAATGTTTTTTTTTTTTTTTTTTTACCAATTTCAGTGAAGACATAAAGCAATCAAAGTCTAATTTTCTCAGCTTTCATTTCGACCCATTCATGACTTGATTCGCTAAACAGTCAGAGCTGTATGAACATTAGTAACGTTAGACGCCCAGTAATATGCCCCCTGACTGTAACCAGCTACGTTACAAAGTAACTGGCTAGCCAGACATCAAACGCAGCTATAATGTTTCGATTCATTTATCCTCGGTTATAAGGAGTAGTAGCCTACAGCATTAATTTCGACCCATTCATGAATTGATCCGTTAAACAGAGTGAGCTATATGAATGAACTGTAGTAACGTTAGACGACGCGCAGGAGCCTACACGCCCCTCTGACTGTAACAGTAGCTGCTAAGTTAGATACTTTGTATACGGTTCTTTCACTCACCTCTTTCGGTGGACTTTTTCCTCGTTTTTGCTCTCCTCTCCGGTTCACATATGGCTTCCCAGCATCCCTCAAAGACTTCCTTGCTCTGTCCTTCCATTCATTCATGTTCGCTCTCCTTTTTTTGCCGAGGTTTTGCCGTTTAATGTCCGCAGCGGACATGAAAGCAACCGGCGTCTCCATTTTTCGTTAGTGGACATAAACGGTTTTTCCGCGTGAGACTATTTTAAAATTTAAAATACAGAGTTTTGGTCGCGCGAACACACCCCCAAAGTGATTCTGTATACAAAGTGGCACACATACATTCAAGTCACATGGTTATCTCAATTTTTGTTTTTTTTGGACTTATACGGTTGTTCGTCGCATGAACACATATGGTGAATTATTGCATGATACCTGGATGTTCAGTCAGAATGCGGTGCGAAACTAGGATGGATCACAACGTCCCAACGTCCGTGTGCTTGTCTGATTCAAAGATTTCGTCCAGGAGAAATTGCCATCGTTGAAATTCTCTGCAGCAGACGGACTCTATCTGTGTCCGTAGCGCACAGCGAGAGCACAGGCACCAGCAGTCCGCCCAGCTCGAGCCAGCCCGGGCTCCTCGTCCGCGACAGGCAGCCGCCTCCTGTTCCTCCATCAGCCTCAGCTGCTCTTCACTATATCGCGGCTCGTAAAGATAGCCACGAACACCGGATTCGAGCAGCAGAATTTCAAAATCCTCTTCTTCCATATCATGTTTAGTTTCTTCCGTCATTGTCCTTACTTCCTATCTCCAAAGCGCTTGTTAGCTTAGCTTCCAAACAAGATGGCTGTTATTGCTTTCTGTATCTGCAAGTGAAGTCCCACCCACTGGTCTGTAGCGTGAGTGGGTCCCACACCCTGTATAAATGATGAGCTTGTGTTTGTAGTCTCTACAATTTTCAATGAAATGGGACTTCCTGCTTTTTATGACGCAAAATGACGATTTTTACGTCATAAAAAGCAGGAAGTAAAACACTTAAATCCTTATTTCTCCCATCTCAGGGAAAAATAAAGGAAAAATCCACGATAATTATAATGTATGACTGGCTTAATGCAAATGGGTGAAGTGTCCCTTTAAGTAAGGCAGATCAATAATATTGTTGAATATTAAATGTCCCCAACTAAGCAAGCCAAAAGCCAAGGCAACAGTGGCAAGGAACCAAAACTCCATCAGGTGACAGAATGGAGAAAAAAACCTTGGGAGAACCTAGACTCAGTCGGGGGCCAGTTCTCCTCTGGCCAACGAAGGAACAGTGTATGATTCGGGCAGCATTACAAGTCAGATTGGATCGGAACATTTAGAATATTTATCCATTTCCATCTGGTTGGAAGTCGAAGTAATCACGCCGGTATGGACACGAGTTGTTGAGGATCAGTGTCAATGGCTGTCGTGTCGATGAGGCCTTTACAGGGCTGATGAGGCTGGCACTTCAGGATGAGTTGGGATTGGTCCAGGCGCAGGTCCACCATAGACGGTCCCTCGGGATAAACAGAGAGACTAATATTAGCGTAGACGCCATCCTTCTTATGATGTACCAAGTACATCAGGATTTACGGGACGTGTTCCCGGTTCCGGCTGATCTAAACTATGCAGCCTAATTTTGAATTAAGGAAGTCTATAGTGTGTTATGTGTATGCTAGGCCAAAGAGATGTGTTTTTAGTCTAGATTTGAACTGACAAAGTGTGTCTGCTTCCCGGACAATGTTAGGAAGATTGTTCCAGAGTTTAGGTGCTAAATAGGAAAAGGATCTACCGCCAGCAGTCGATTTTGATATTCTAGGTATTATCAACTGGCCGGAATTTCGAGAATGCAATAGGCGTGAAGGACTATAATGCGTTAAGAGCTCGCTCAAGTACTGGGGAGCTAAACCATTTAGTGCTTTGTAAGTAATCGGCAATATTTTAAAATGTATACGATGTTTAATAGGCAGCCAATGCAGTGTTGACAGAACCGGGCTAATATGGTCATATTTCCTGGTTCTGGTAAAAACTCGAGCTACTGCGTTTTGAACTAGCTGTAGTTTGTTTATTAAGCATGCAGGGCAACCACCCAGTAGAGCATTACAATAATCTAGTCTTGATGTCATGAACGCATGAACTAATTGTT